GAAGATGGCAATAAGAATCCTCCAAGAGCCTTCGATCGAATCGAAATGGAAATCGAAAACCGAGGGTCCTATTCCAGAACAAATCATAATCCCTATAACAAACCCTAAAACACCAAAAATCACACTAAATTGCTTCTCCGACCTCTTAGAAGCAGATTTCTCAAACGATATCTTCGCAAGAGCTAAAAAAGATTTGGTTAAACCAATGAATGCCAGAATAACCGGAATCAAATTCCCATTCCCAGAACCCTCAGAGCTACCTAAATACTTGTAAAGCAACAAACAGGAAATACCCACAAAGGAGAAAAGAAAGGAATTGTGGTAATCATTGAAGCAAAGCCTCGTTTGAAGATGACCCTCGTCGAGTTTCAGCCTGAAGATCTGGGCATTGTTTTCATCGAACTCGAACTTCTTGTCTTTAGATTTGTTCCTCTTTTTGAGCTCCGCATTGGTCCTCGATGACAGAGATTGGTAACCATCGAGTCCGAGACCGGAATCCGAGCCAGAAGGTCTACGAATGGCAGCTCTAACGCCGGAAGATGAACCGCCGTTTCCTTGGCCGACGTTTTCAGGGTGAATATAAGTGAAGAGACCGTGGAGAAACAAAACAGGGATCTTGAGGAAAGTGAGGATTAAGGTGAGGGAAACAGAGAGCAATGTTTGGAGAATGAGATTCTTGTAATCTTCAAAGAAGGGTAACATCGTTGTTCGATCGAGAGATCGAAACGATGGGTTGAAAGAGATCGTAAAGGTTTAGGCTTTGGAGATTTGGGATATGGCTTGTGTTAGGGAAAGTGAAGTACTTTAGCAGGATTGGTGTTTGGGTCGCTTGTTTCTGTCAGCCTTGACTTCAATGGAGGCCTTGTAACACCATCGTAAATCAATGTTGATACTGAAATCAAATCCAACAATCAGTTCCAATCATAAAAACCTGTCTTCATTTACAAATCTATCTTTTAGGTTTGTATATTTCTATATTTCAGTTTTAGATTGTTTCAATTTTAATATTAAACTTCAATTTCGAATTTAATTAAAGTACTGAAGGGTTTAATCAATAATACGAATCTCTTTTCATAAATTTTAGTTTTGCGTATTAATTCTATCATTAAACTTTAAAATATTTTAATTTTAGATATCAAATTTTAGTTTGTGTATTAATTTGATCCCTACAAAAAATAATCAACTTATATCATTACTAGTCGATTGTCACCCGTTATTGATCGTTGTAATAAAATCAATACCAAAACATTTGTATTTCATTGCTATTTCTTCTTCTCAGTTTGTTCTTTCACAAAATCAATTCAAAATTGATAAGTATTTATCTAAAGTTTCGACATATGCTATCCATAATCGTAAAAAATACTTCGCATCGTTTAGATAATTGAACAAACACTATAAATTATTCAAATTCAATAACGTTTATAAAGCTCAAAAGATAATATATTTTTTGTGTTAAAAGTTTTCTGATTTTAAAGAGGTTTCAGGAAAAAAATTTAAACTAATAAAATAGTAGACAACGGTGATACGAGTTTATTTATATTTTTTACGACTACAAACAACGTCAAAAAATAATAATTTTCGAGGACGGTTACAAATTGATGGAAAAAAATCCTAACTTTGACAATAAAGATGATAAAATAGAATAATATTTTTTTTAATTTTACATCAACATCAAATTGTCATGTCATTTGTGTGTTAATGGTTTAATGGTCTAGTATTTTTTTGAATTAATCATTGGTGTTAGATCTATTAACCGACTAATTAAGATTGGATACTACAAAGACGAGGGTAACCCTCCCAACCCAGTTTGCTTCATTTTCAAACTAATGGTTTAGTACTTTAATTGTAACAAAAATTGAAGTTTAAAACCTAAACTGAAATTCTTTAAAGTTAAATGATAAAATCGATACACAACTAAAAATTTTGGTGATATTCAATACCAATTTGAATAAAAAAATTAGGTAAAACATTCAATTGAGTTAAAAAAAATTAAATACCAAATTACATCTTAAAAGCTACCTAATTGAAAAAGAAGAAACTTACGTACCAAATTGAACATTATAATTAAATCCAGGTACCAAAATATATATTAACCTCAGATTAATGTCATTTGTTGGGCTTCCAACATATGATTGTTTATATATACTAACTTCAAAAAAAGCCATAAGCAGAGACTTACCCTTAACCCCATAACAAGCCACTACAACTCCCATAACCAGTCTCTCACCATACACTGTATATATTCCGAGTGTTTAAACATATTCGATTCTACTTCCTTCTATATATTATATCGACAATAACATTAACAAGATTAAATTTAATAGGTTATATTCTAATTTTCTAAATAAAATTTATTAGTATTCTATAAATTATGAAATATGATTTTGTATAATTGGGTGCACAATCATAAAAGGACCATCTCCACGCTGTTCCCATGTGCTTTGTTGTGTGTTCCATATTAATCACACTATGGCGCTCTCCTCATTCCACGGATGCTCTTTAACTTTCTTCACTGTAATGGAAAATGACATTGTTATTTTGTACACTGAATATAATGTTTTTTTATTGTATAAACCAAACAATTTAAAACAAAACTAATTGCATTTGGTAACATGTCAGAGTATAACAACAGTTTGCAGTTTCCTGTTACAACAGTTAGTTAGGGTAAGTTGGTGATTGACCTTTTGTTATGTATGCGTCGTGGAATAGCAAAGGTATTATTATGTGAAAAGATTATGCAACCAACTCTTATCTATTATCAGGATAAGCACTGCCTCATGTCTCTCCTTTCTCTGTCCCGTGTCCACATCTCCTTTATTCATTCCCGTCACCTTTCTTTTAACCATGCTACTATAGTGTGTATATATATATATATATATATATATATATAAAGAGAAAGACCATTTCATATCGTGTAAAATTTATTAGTTTAATATTCCTATAACATCATTGTATAAATTAAAATAAATGACTGAAATTAATGATAAGACCTGAGAATATATTCACAGAAAAGGAAAACAAATATATAATCTCAATCGTCTATTTTTACTCATACAATGATTTTAATTCCTAACAAGGTATAAAAATAAAACCTTTTACATTATGTGTAAGTGGATCATAACCCCGTATATAACATATTTATTATCATTTATATTACTGACTCAGTTAATATGTTACAGAATAATCGATATCAATTTAATTACAAAAATACTAAAGATATTCATAAATACTATTATCGAATAAAACATGTATTTAAATCTAATAGATTTAGGATTATATTGACGGTGAAAAAATATTTTGCATATAAAGTTATATTGATATATTTTTTTTTAGGGTTTAGATTTATATGTTTTAGTCATTGAATTTAAAATTCAATGATTAAAATTTAGAGTTTAGAGGTTTAAATTTACAGTCTAAGATCATTCAAATATATTATATGACATTTAAATATATATGTTTATGGAGTCTATATTTAAGGTTTAGATTTATATGTTTTATCTATAAAAAAATTATATATTTGAAGGTTTATATTTAAAATTTTAGAATTTAGAGATTTAGAATTAGGGTTTAAGTATATTCAAATATATTATATGGTATTTAGATAAATATGGTTGTAGGATCTAAATTTTACATAATTTATGTATTAAATATTTTTATTATATCTGTGGCTATTCATTATATAACTTTTTTTTATATATATTTTATATAAAATATATTTATACTCAGACGTGATAAATTTTAATATAAATCATTTTATATTAATTTAAGTCAAAGACAGCAGTAGCACGTTTCCGGTGCCAAAATATCAAGATATCATGATAGAAATATCTTACATCAATCAGTTAGATATATAACCGAAATGAATGTCTAAAATGGTACTTTACAATCAAGTGAAAATATGAGAGAGTCCTCATAGGTCATTAGAATGGTCTAATTCAATTGAATTGGTCGATTGATTTTATAAAATTTTTAAATTATAGTAAAAATTATTTTTAAATATTCTCGAATAATTAAATGGTAATATTTGTTCATAATCTTTCGTAATTATTGATAATGTACACATACTCTATAGAGGTAGATACTCAAATCCAGGCTTTAAGGAAAAATAATATTTCATTTAACCAGGTCACATGAATTCATATATGTTTAATGTATTAATAGTCTACAAATTTAATTGCATCATATGTCCTTAGACTATGATCTTATTTTAAATTAGTCCTTAAACTTTTAAATATTCTAATTTCATCCCTAAACTATGATTCTAATTCTAAATTAGTTCTTAAACTTTCAAACATTCTAATTTCATCCCCAAACTTTTGAATTTTACAATTTCATCCCAAATTAATTCAAATATGTAATTAGTTGCAACCATAGTTTAAACTAAATTTTATTTTTTAAAACATATAATAATATAATGTAGTCTTACGATTTTATTAACAAGTGACGTGATTAGAATATACGTATAGTTTGGGATGAAATTGAAATGTTCAAAAAGTTTAGAGACTAATTTAGAATGGATGTCATAGTTTGGGGATGAAATTAAAATATTTAAAAGTTTAAAGATTAGTTTAAATCGAAAATCATAATTTGATAATATATAATACAATTAATTCTAATTTATAAGTTCGTATATCAAACAATATAAAATTACATCATCAATTGAATAATTGTAAAATCTATTGAAAATAATATAATTATTATATAGGATACACTACACTAAAAGCAAAGAGGAAAGTATACAATGAAAGAAGAAAATTAATATTAAAAAATCCTAAAACAAAGGATTAATTTCTTACATGGATAAAGTACATTTTAACTCCTGAATATAGTATCTTTTTTCAATTTATCCTTGGACCTTTTTTGTCAACGTTTGAATTTTAAATTTAGATTTTTAGTCACAATGATGACGTGATATCTGATACACTTTGATATTATGATGCGCAATGTAATACTACATGCCACATCATCAAAAGGATCAAAATGGAAAAAGCTATCAAATTTAGGGATCAAAAGAAGAAAAATTACAAGTCAATAATTAAAAGCTTATTTATCCGATGTCTTATATTAGTTCGTAGGGAATGATCTTTTTCTAATCGTTATCCTCTGTTCTGTTCCAGACCTGAGGGACCACCTGCGAACACAAGATGAACAACACAAATGAAAACCATTAAGAGAAGTTCATTTGTTAAGACTAAAGATCAAACAATGTCAGAAACAGTAGAGACAATGTGTTGGCAAAAAATATTGAAACTTGCCAGCTTACATGGGTTCATAATTATAGCACCAACCTGATCTTCTGATGAATCATGCGGCTGAGATTGTGGGGGCGGCGGTGGTCGCTTTGGTCTTTTATCAGTTTTAACCTTCATTTTGCTTCTTGTTGTGCCTATAGAATCTGCTGCAAAAATGGACCGGGACAAATAATGACGAAAAATCATTAAGAAAAGAGTTTGAAAGAACCGTAAAAGTGACCTACCGGCTACAAATATCTCCAGGCATATTCCACATGTTATATATATTCTTTACGACGTATTTATTCATCTATTAATTTAAATTAAATATTATAAAAATTTATTTTACGAGTTAATCTCTTTAAATTTTAAAAAGACTTTATACTTGATCCCAAAATAGAATATTAAAAAAACAAACTAAAAAATATCTTTTATCACTTCATCAATCTCTCAGATGAGCCTTTTGTGATGCTAAAATGCACCGTTTTGCACCATGGAAGAGACAAGAAGGCTGGAATATGTAAAGGTTGAAAATTGTTGCTAAAATGTAACAAAGAAAAAAGAAAGAAAAAAGACGGATTGTTTAAACTGTGTTAAATAACATTACCTGAAGAAGCGTGTTTTTTTCTCGTCGGAACATTGTGGTGTTTGCAATCGAGGGTGGACTCGGAGCTGTCGGGAAGTTGGCGGTCGAGACGGAGGTTATAGCGGTCGTTGTTCTCGAACATTGTACGGACGAACCAAGCCTCCATGGAGTTGAGGAAATGCACGTGCTTCTCGTCCGTCCATGACTCGTTTCTGGGAACGTGCGAGTTCATGGCTCCAAAGGAAAGCCAAAGACTATGGCTTTTTTCTTTTAAAAGAAAATCTCTCGGATTCCCGAGAAACAAACAGCTGGTGCCTTCGTGGGGTGTGGGGGTTATTTATTTGTTCATTTCCTTCTTTAATTCCATTTTCCTTTTATGTTTTAGTAGGCAAATTCCCAAAGAGAAATGGAACTTTATGAAGGGAGTGGGGGTCGAGTTTCAGGGTTTATATATCGAGTGCGGCCAAAGGATTGGTTATCTTTTTCAAGGGAGCGTAACTTCAAAGATAAGATACACCATATGAAAGTATCCAATTTGTATACTCGCTTGATTCGAATTTAGATGTATAAAGTCTTAAAATTAAATTAATATTTAATCTTTAATTAAATAATTTAATTTAATTTAAATTTGATATATTTCTCAATCCGTACTAAATATATGTTCAACTTTAATTTTTCGTCTCAAAAAATAAATTTTATACTTTTTAAGTTATTCCTTTAATATTATATTTTATTCAGTTTAGTACTTTAATTGTAACTCTTGATAAATTCTTGCTTCTTATTAGTTTCGTAACTCTTTAATATTCCTATAAATAATTTACCCTTGAATTTCCTTTTTTAAAATATAACATTATAAACATAATATATGATTAGAGAGTTATTATAAATTATATATACAAATATAATAGTATATATGTGTCATATATAATTATAGAGTCATTTATATTAAAATAAATTATTATTGTATTATTATAAATAATTAAATTTAAATTTGATAAGCTTAATTCAATTAAATACTCAATCATATCTACACCAAGAATCAAATATATTTTAAAGATATTTTTGTGTAATTCAATTATTTTAATTTGGTTAAAGTAATAATAAAAATAAATATGAATAAAAATACGGATATTTTCTAAACATGATTTGTTATTAACATTTGTTAACCTGAGCTGGCCATTAAGGTATATAATTTCCATTTCAAGTAGAAATGTGATACAGAGGCGAGTACTGAGGTTAAGTAGTAGATGAGCGAGTAGAATTGATGGGTGGGTGGGGAAAGCAAAGTGAAAATATCTTGGGGACTAAAATAATTGATATTTAAAAAAAAGATTTGAAAAGAGATATTTTGGGGATAAACAAAGAATCTAGTGGCGGAGTTTCCAAGAGATGCTGACAGACTTACTGCTCTCGTCCTTTTCGTGGGTTTTGATTTTTTTCTTTTTCCTTTTAACTATAATTAATTGTATTACGTGTCTTTAAACTATGATTTTTATTATAAATGGGTCCTTAAACTTTTGAATTTTTTAATTTCATCCTTAAATTCGTTCAAATATGTAATTAGTTTTAACCATAGTGTAACCTATATATATTTTTTAAATATATAATAATATAACTTGCCTAATGATTTTATTAAAAAGGGATGTGATTAATTTGTTCATATAATTTGGGATAAATTTGAGATGTTCAAAAAATTTAAGGACTAATTTAAAATGAATGTCATAATTTTGAGAGATAGAATTGAAATATTTCAAAGTTTAAGGATTAATTTATAATGATAGACATAGTTTAAGGGTAAAATTAAAATGTTTAAAAGTTTAGTGGTTAGTTTATAATAAGAATTATAATTTGAGGATATATAATACGACTAACTCTTTTTAATAAGTAAAGTATACATAATGTATGGAATATAATGGGTCAGATCTAGTTAGATTTTTGGTCAAGTTAATTTTGATTTGAGTATTATACTCTTTAATTCGTTATATGATTTAATTCGAATTTTAGAGTTAAATTTCATAATTTGATCCAACACAAATATAAGAAAAAATTTAATCATTTATATTATCGTTTTAGGCACTGTAACGTTAAACAATGTTAGTTTAATAATGTAGTACGTTGGTAACAAAATTTTAATTAATCCTTTTTTTAATAAACTTTTTTAAAACCCTAACTTTCCCACTACGTCTCACACCATAGGTTTCTTGTTCATCTTCTCGATCGACGGTTATCTATATTTAACGAACATAGACATAAATTAAGATAAACGACTCGTAAAACTTGAGAATAGTATACCTATTGCATCAAACAGAGAGTTTTAAAAAGAAAAAGTTAAATAGTTTTAAAGAGAAAATATCCATTTCATTAGACAGAGTTTTTTTTATTATTATAAAAAAAGGTACATATTTGTTCAAGCCTAAAAAAAGTTTGCAGGATCAGCAATGGTCCTTACATATGCACCAATCTGTCGAAATTGTTTTTAAAATATGTAATAACCCAGATTTTGTCTTCTTCGTAGATGTTTTCATCGTTGTCGATTTTATTAACCCTAATCTTAAGATCTCTATAATTAATATATTTTTAGTGAATATTATCTTAATATTTATTTTATTAATCGATTAAATCTAATTGATTATTGTTAAATTTTATTATAATAATAATTATCGTAATTAATTTTGTTTCATCCACAATATTAAAATTTAAACTTTAATCTTATTTAAAATATTTAATGATTCATCTCATCATCATTATCATCATCATCATCATCATTATTATTATTATTATTATTATTATTATTATTATTATTATTATTATTATTATTATTATTATTATTATTATTATTATTATTATCTTGTGGGTTAAGATTTCACAATCAACACGGGAATTGGGTCAAGCTTCCATTTATCATTACTTAATCTATTCTTTATCAATGTTCATCATTATTCATAAAATAATTTTTACAATCCATAAATGAATTCCACACACATATATAATAATAATAATTAATTAATTAAAAATAATCAATAAAATAATAATATATCCAATTCTAATCCAAAAAATAATTATTAAATATATTATCTGTCCCCACCCAAAAAAATAATTTAAATTGCTTCATCAATCGTTAAATATCATGGACCGAATATGTAGAGTATCAAGTTTTTAAAACATTACCAAATGAGTATCCCATTTCTTCGTTGTCTTCATCTTTGTTCAGACAACTCATCTCCAATTACCTAAACTTGTCTACACACCAGAGTCGTCTCGAATATTTTCGGGACCCTAAGTAAAAATAAAAAATAGGCCATAATTAAAGGAAAATATACTCTATTACTTTAAACAATTAATTTAATGTCTTAGAAAAATTATTAAACTTTTTTGAATATTAATTTCATTGTTTTGTTAAGAAAACATCTTAAATACAAATAAGAGAATAAAAAAATCGAATGTAGATATAAATTATGATATGGAGCTTTATTCTGAATAACAAATTAAAAATAAAGAATAACATATTATGTTATCGTTAGAATGAGTGTAACATCTCGATTTAGGGGCTAAATTTTAGAAATGCAGATTTAATTGGTATTTTGAAAGAAACAGTGGATTAAATTGTAAAATTTCAAAGTTGACAGACCGTTTTAAGAAGTGCAGGAAGTTCAGTGACAAAACCCATGATTTAGCCATTTATATATATATGTTGAAATATAACTCCCCACCCATGCTCAGTTTCCATATTTCCCTCATTTCCCTCCCTCGTTCACCCTACTTCGATCTCTGATCTACTCGTCGTCCGCCCTCCGGTTGATGAATCGAAACCACCATCGTGTTCGTTGCCAACCGATGAACAAAACCCCTTAAACCTTTCGTTGTGAATTATCACCGTTCGTCGTTAATTTCAGTCGGAAGTATCATTGGTGATAACTCAATTTCACTTGGTTTTTCGTCGATTCACGACGATCCGATCATCCGTTTACGACACCTCCCGCACCATCGTGTTCCTTGTGCCGTTCCGAGTTCGCCGGTGTCATTCTTGGTCTCCGTCGACAGCGGCGCGCGAGGAGGTTAAGCGGTCAAAGTTTCTGATTTGTTGAAATCGAGCTCTTCGCCGTTCAAAAAATTGAACCGAGCTTTGTAAGTACCTCGAAATCACTCAAAATAATTTTTAGAAATTTTTCCGTAATTTATAGGCTGTCGGAAGACGTCCCACGTGCCCCCACGCACCGTCGCTGCGCGTGGGGAACAAAAAAATGACTGGTTTGATTGGTTTTGGAGCTATTTTGACCGGTTTGACCGATTCTGACCCGTTTACCCGGCCCGTTGACTCGTTGACCGGTGTTAACCAAAGGTGACCAAAACTTTGACGGGCTTTGACTAGGCATTAAACGACCTTTGACTTTGACCGAGTATACCTATCCTGACATTTTTCGACGATCCAAATCCGATTCCACATTCCGTTTTTCGAAATTCGAACCCGAAGGCCTCAAAATTGCCAGTCAAACCCGTTGACTTTGATTTTGACCAAAAATTCCAAATTTTCGAAAAGTCATATTTTATGCTTTCGACGTCCTGAATCCAAATCCAAATTCTGTTTCGCCAAATTCAAACCCAGTAAGCTGTTTTTCACTGATTTATCATCCGAATCGATCCGTTTTTTAGAATTAAGCTCCGTTTTTATGTAATTTCTGTTGGTATGGATCTGAGGAAATATTGGAAGATGATTTCAAGATCGAGGGCGTTCGAATGGAATTTTATGGTCTATCAGTATTGCACAAAAATCGAGATAATACTTTACTACCTCTTTATGCTTTATAGAACATGTTGGTATTGGTAAATGCATGAATGTAAATGTTTGGTCTCATATGTGTAATTAATGAATATCTACGCTCGATACGAATACGGTAGAAAGTGGGTAACTGAATATGGCTCAGATGAATATTAGAAGAAATTGGAGGACAGTTGGAATTAAATTACAAGTTCTGGAATTAAGTGATAAAAGAATCATCCATGGATATGTAGATTTAAGTGATAAAAGAATCAGCCATAGATATGTACATTATAATTTATCTCATTAAAGGTACTTAGATGATAAATTATGAGAATATTTCAATTAGATAAAATTACAAAATTACCCTTATGTTGGAAAATGACAAGAATTGTCCTTGGAAGTGGATTAATAAATCTGAAAAGAATTATTGATTTGATAAAACTATTGATGTGCATAAGAAATGTTAGTTTTACTTGGAAATTATGGATAACCGGTTTTTAACCCCAAAAGGGTTTATGCTAGATACTAGAAGTCTTTTAAGGAATCATTTCAAGATCAAATAATGTTCGAGGAAGTAATTAATCATAGGATCTCTATATTATTTTATTTTCGTTAAGAGCTAATATCGAAATTATCTGGTTA